AGAAAGGGGATGGTGATTGAGTGGTTTGGTTTGTGTGTAGGAGCATAATATAGTTTTTGACCCTTGGTTAGCAGTATGTTGAGGGGGCATCGTAGTGGTCAGGTCCTTCAATAGTATAAATGGCATCACACTACTGTGAAAATAAACACTGTAGGCTGTAGGCTGTGTGTATTGTGGTGTGATTCATGTAATGTGTATTGTAATGTATAGTCAGAGTCTGTGTTTTATAAAGTCATAGTTATGATTCATTATTGATGGTTTGACTCATCCCATCGTCATCTCATAATGAATGAGAATGATCTGTCACATGCAATCTTGTGATCATTCAGCATGCACACTATACTTGCATCACAGTCAGAATTACGAACCATCACTATAGTGTTGTAACTTATACCTATAACCTTCTATGTCTATGTCCTTATTAATATTAATTAATGTAGTAGCAACATATTAAAATATATAAATCAAATATCATAATTTTCTCAACGGGCTCCCCGTCTCTAAACTCTTGCTACAAAAAACAGTTTACCATTGGCCATTTTGCAAATAATTCAACTACGACCACAATCATTAACAAAAGATCCTGGACAAGGACAATCAACAAGAACTTGCACTTAGTTGATTTTGGGTTTCCATTGCAACCCTTTAGCGCCACTCTTGGGCATTGACAGTGGCAGTTGGGAAAGTTTGGTCGTAGAGCTGAATTTGTCCCTATCTGAGGCTGACGGCAATCTCAGAGCTGAGTACCGTGAGAAGGCACAGCAGTCATGTAGAGCAAGGCCTTCTACATCTCCAAGACTGCAGGACGACCATGATTCAGAGGCCAATGTCGGGATTGGCTTGCTTGGCTTGGGAGACAAAGACCATGCAATTAGCAGTGCACTTTTTGAGGAATGCGCCAGCCAAAAGGGATTTGTGGAGCAGCAAAGTCAAGAGTGGAGCAAGGCACATTCTGAAGTCGTTGGTGGTGGCGCCATTGAGCCGCAAGCGTGTGACGAGAAGACCTGCACTTCTTTTTGCCAATTTGGTGGATTGCTTGGGGTTGACAAGGAGGTGTTCAGAAGAATGCAAAATTTGATGAGAAATATTTGTCGCAGCCTCAAACCTCTCTACAAGACCATACAGCAATGCATAGGACCAGATGCTCGGTTTCCTCTTCTTTTTGCTCGCTGGGTAAGAGCAGACGGCAAGGTTGCGCAAGAGATTGGATGGCTTCTCACGCACGCAATGTTCCGTCCGTTCCGAGTGGATGGCATCAATCTTAGATTTGAGGGCAGAGATGATTTTCTGGAGTCTCCTTACATTGTGCATCTTGCGGTGGAACATATTGCATCTTCTGAGACAAAGGTGTTCAAGTTTTCCTGCATGGATGGAATTGCTGCTCAGATGTCAAGATTGAAGCCCGTTGATGAGAGAAAGGCTGGCAATGGATGGGTGGAATATGCATTCCGTCCAGACTATAGTATATGCTGGTCTGACTCACTTTGCAAGCTCAGACTCCTTGGCGTTCTGAATTGGATCAAAGCCAGTGATGCTTTACAATCGCAACATGAGGAGTCTGATGATGACAACGACATTGACCAGGAGAATCGCGACAATGAGTCCCTTGATGAGATTGCGAAGATGGTAGCGAACTTAACAGGCTTTGACCCGACTGCACCTGCACTGAAGCCTAAGCCGCGGCCAAAGCCAAAGTCACAGAAACAAGAGAATGCCCGGGGAAGGTCAAACGCTGCCAGTGCTATCAGTGGAAGCTTGTCTGCTTAAATGATCTGTTGTGCTGGGTCATTCGTCCACAAATCCATACACAAATCCATATGGAAGACTTTCGTGCGTTCACAAAATACATTCAGGCAGGAGTCACAGCAAGACATGACATAAGAAAGTAACAGTATTAGAAAAAAGTCATATCAATTGTATCAGTATCGCAAGAAATCTAAGATGTCACGATGTCAAAGAAATGTGTGGACTCAAGTACAGGTGAAAGTTGTAGGTAAACGGCTAACTTTACATGTTGCATGCTACATAAGGCAAGTCGAACCCCGTTGAATACCGTGGGTTTGTGATTGATTTAGAACTCAGGAACTCTACCCAAGGACGAGGTGCCTGAATTGGATCCAGAACTAGCTGAACTGCAAGAGAATTGGCTCCAAGCGAGGGAGTATGACTTAGGCCTTCTATCGCGCTATTCCGATAATCTACAGGATGAACCTCCAGATATTGCCCAGCCAAGCGCATCATCATCTACTTCCACCAGAAGAGGCAAGACTGGAAAAACACCTGCCAAGAATACACCTTCAAAGCCTGTTGCTGGGTTGGCGAACAGCAAGAAGGTTTGATTGTGAAATAATTGGAGCCAGTCTAATGTGACTGTTCATGAAGTTCAATATATATATATATATATAATAGTTATGCGCAAATACAAATACGCTTTTGTCATCATACGGTATGGAAACCATTAATAGTCGTCTATAGTCCGGAAACCTGTGTTTGAACATTTTTAGGCTATGCCTTCAGAAACAGCCACGTCGTCTTCATCAGCAAAGCCGCCACAGCGACCCCGTTTGCCTCCATACTACATGGACAAGGATGGCATGTGTGGGAACAGGAGTTCTACGACGGTCCCAAAGAGTATTTGGGTGCTTTGCCTGCAGGAAAGTCAGATGTGTAATTTAGTATAAATTAAGTTATATTATATATTATATATAATTATGTTACGACATGATGTGACATGATATGTTTGGATCCACTTGCAAATCTTTTCAGTCATAGCATTGATAAAATCATGTTCAATTATAAGTAGTATTATCATATAAACCCAGGAAGTTGTTTGCAGTAGGAGCACCTGTCAGTATCCAAGGCCGGATCACTGAGATGAAGAAAGGGACCCCACAACATGCCATAGCGGTCAAATGCCACTATCATAGAGGCAATTGCTCTGTGCTCAAGACCGCCAAAGCGTTTACCAACGGTGGTGCAAGCTTTGACCGGCTTATGAACTGGCTCTATCAAGGAAAGCGGATGGTGCCTGCTAGACAAGACTATCCAGCGCACACAAAGCTTTACTATGCACCATGGCTTCAGTTGTGTTTTATTGGTGGTTTCCGAGGCATCATTCCTATTTAGTGTGTCTGTAGGTTCTAGTCATGATGTGTCTTGCTACTGGATGCCTTTTAACATGTTGATGTGCAGGCAATGGTGACTGGGTGATTTGCATTGGTTGGATGTGTGCTTGCCAGCAACAGCGGTGCTGCTCATTGCAATGGCTCACGGCATTTGGTCTCTAACCTGATGGTATTGACAAAGGATGATGCACTTTGTCTCCCGTGAGCCCTAATTCATGTGTGTATTGCTATGGGAAAATCATCGGGGAATCAACTGGAAAAAAGGTGAAAAAGGCAAACAACCGAGATCAAGATGTCTTATGTAAAGAACATCTGATAATGTGTTTTATGTCAAGCTGCCTATAAATTGCAATCTCATGGAGGTTCTGACTTTGCCAGTGCCAATTAAACCTGTTTGCAGGATTCAAGCTGTGTCCAGATGTATGTGACCATGTTCACATGTATGCCCACCTGAACGCCCATGCGTACGCCCACACGTCCACATGTATGTTGACCCATATGAGTCAGTATGAGCATATGTACGTACACATGTTCATTTTTGGTATGTTCAAAAATAAGGACCTCTTTTGGCCCAAAAACCACCTTATTCTAGGAATAAGCTGTTTTTCTGACCAAAAGAGCTCCTTATTTTTGAACATATCAAAAATGAACATGTGTACGTACATGTGTACGTGCGTGTGTACATGTGGGCGTACATGTGTGTGTACATGTGTACGGATGGATGAACATGCAAGTGAACGTATGAACGGACATGTCAATACTACCCTCAGCTGCTCGAGGATTGCCAAGTCAGGTCAGAGCTCGTAGGTCAAGTTGCTCACATGGCACAGGCCCCTGACCCACCAGCTGGGTTCACAAAGCCTGAAGGCTACCTGGCTTGCAGGTGTCAGTTTTGCATGCGCTGGAGCACAGAGAAAAATCCAATTACCGGTTGGATGGAGAAGTGGTGGCCGCTGATTCCTTGGGCAAGTGGATCTCAGGCATGTCCGAAAGGTTTGTGCTGCTTAATCTGTGCCAATGTGGTTAGACTGCAGACAGATAAATTGTGTTTTTATCAGGCCACACCAATTGGTTTTGTGTTCCTTCCAATCCTGGCTAGCACTACTGAGTTGTACAATGAGGTGCTCACAAGTGGCGGATGGAAGCTAGATCCAAGCACCAGCACTATGAAAAAGGCTGCCTCACACTTCAAGAGTAATCCTACCAGGCTTCATGCGTTCCTTGGTTTGAAAGACTTGTGCTCTTATGATCTTATGATTGTTTTGAGGGTGTGTATTTGTATTTGTCATTGGCCTTGTCTCATCTGTCTTGTGAGGTTTATGAAGCAGCGTGAAACTCTCATCGAGGCAAAGAATGCCAATCCAGGAATGAGAATTCTCAACCCTGACCAACTCGGACCAAGAGAGTTGCCTGGCATAAACAGGCTGTATTTTGATTTTGGCATGATCAATGATCATTGTCAATGTCAATATCACTTGTCAGATGTCTTAATCGATCTGTCAATGACTCAATGACATCATGACATGTTATGATTCATGAGTCATGAGTCATGAGTCGTTGTTTCTTGGTATTGCAATGAGGACACTTGCGGTTGAGGATGAGTCAAAAGAGACTCTCACATCAGCACTGCAATTCTTTGTGGAAGCTGGCACCTACTTGAGTATGACTCACTTTCAGCCAAACGAATCTGACTTGGTGACTAAAAGCTTTCAGGGGGAGAGTCTGCTTGGAGAAACTTGCATATGCATCAGCTAAAGAAGTGTTTCCGTCTTTGTTTCAGTGTGTGTGGTGTGTGTGTGTGTGTTTGTTAGGGCTGCTTTCTCAATCTTTTTGTTGAAGTCAAACAAGATGATCACTACAGGGCGGGAGTGGCTCATGGCTTGGGAGGATGGACAGCGAGGTGTGTATCGCTTGACTGGCCAACAGAGCATTGGGGTGAAACGGACGGCTACTTTGCTTGAGACAGACCAAGCTATGTTGACTGACAACCTGGTCGACAAGACACAAACCCATGCTGTGGGACAATTGATGGGTCAGGCAAAGCATCTCAAGAAGGATCCTGACATGGGACGTGCAAAAACTTTGCTTGGCATAATGGATGGGCTTCAAATGATGAGCGCTGCTGACCCTAGCGTGGATCCCACTGCCACTTCAAAAAGAGCAGACACGACATCTTTGCCTCTACCTTCCATTGCTGCCAACGCACATGCAAGGGCAGCGCAAAAGACTGAAGATTGTGATGAAGAGATGTCTGTGTTTGAGAGGTTGAAAAATACCAGCACTCCAGCAAGGGCCAAGGCAGCACCTCAGCCAAAAGTTCCCAAGGCAGCTGCAAAAAAGGCTGCTGCAAAGAGAGCAGCATCAAATGATACAGCTACCACTGCTCCTACCTTGGCTTCTACTCCTGCTCCTGGTAGTGAGGCTTTTTCTTCAACGGCAGACAAAGCTGCCCACAACAAACGCCAGAGAATCAGTGCTGTGGAAAACCTGGACCCGGCAATTGTGACTGGCTTTGACAGATTGACTGAGGCGGACAAAGCTTGGGCAGATGAGTGGAACGATAAGCTCAAGAGTGCTTTACGATTTGATCCCCGTCCAAATGAAGTCGATTTTCGCAACGACTGCGCCGACAGCTTGAAAAAGCTGACAACTCTCATCAGTGGGCTGAAGACACGTCAGAGACAGTTGAAGCGTCGGACCACTGAAAACCAAACAGCACCTCTTGAGCAAGCTCAAGGTATGGAAACAATTGCCTCTGTCATGCAGGACTTCATCAAGGGACTCAACAAGCAAAGTACAGCTGTTTCCGGAGAAGACTGCAAAGCTCGGTTGTCAGCCTTGTTGGCGGATGATAGCTACGGATGCTTTGTGGGGAAAGAGGTCTATGTGAGAGTGTGCAAATCCATGTGGTATGACAATCTCAAGTTGCAGGCTTGGAATGAGATGGTATCAAGCACTTTCGAGTTCCTCAGAACCAATGTGAGCGAAGATGACCACTTTACTCACAGGTCATTTTTGCTCCAGCAAACGACTGTGACACTGCAGAAGCTTTTGCGAGGCATTGTCCCAGACAAGGCTACTTACCTTGTCTTCAATACAGTTGTAAAGTTTTATGATACCAATACCACTGCTATTAAACTGTTTTTGTATGTTTTTCTTTGATAATCATTGATATTGATATATTAATAACATAGCATTAGCAGGGTTTTCACAACATTGGCCAAGGTTACGATTGACGGGCAAGACGTTATGGAGCCAATTTGCAACTTTGTGAATGTCATGATGAATGAGTTCCCTGCTGTTGAGAATCGGAGCTGCTTCAAGTCGCTGCATGTCCTTCTTTTACCTTCAGCCTATGACCCGCAGAGCCTCTTGGACTCTTTGGTGGCACTCAAGGCAGCCACACAATCAGCTTCCATTTTGTGGTCCTTCAAGTCTCTTGCACAAGGGAAGAAGATTATGAGCTTGGCAGAAGCAACGGCAGAAGGGCAATCCCATATGTGTGAGCTGATGTCGAAGGTAAAGGATACCGTTCAGACATGTGAGCAATTTACAACTGCTCTCGCTGGTCTTAAGCCTGCTGCAGCATTCGATTCCTTTGCAAAGGTCTTCACTTCATTCAAGGACATTGCTTCCAAGACGGACATCAAGGATGAGACTGCGCAAAGTGCTTTGGGGAATGCCAAGGACGCTTTGAAGAACTATGCCGACGCGGTTGTCAAGCATCATGTGTGTCATGAAACCGTCCCCTGGTTGAGCACGCAAACCCAGACACTCAGAGACTCCAAGATCATGTCCAAGCCACCAGCAGTTGCTCTCACCAATCTTCTTCCAGAAATTCCACGAGTGGTTGGAGAGCCATTGGTCTGTCTTCAGGATTTGGCACTTTTCTTGGATAGCACCAATGCAGTATCCCAGGAGGTTGATGCTCTACTACGGATTCCTGTAGGTGATCAGGTTGCCAAGAAGAGAGCCACAGCTGTAAGTCTATGCCAAGCTGTGAACCGTTGGCAGGAAGCACAGACCAAATTTTTGTGTTCCTTCTCAATGGCCAATGAATCAGTTGCGGCATTGCAGCACCAGCTGAATCTCCTTGTGCAGTCTACTTGCCAGGATGTATGGCATGATGCTATCAAACCTCCAAGTGACGTTTTCATGCTCCACATAGTCTTGTCAAATGCACGCCTGGAATATCGGAAGTTTGAGGAGGCCTTAGCTGCGGCTGCAGATGCCAAACTTCTGCTGACAGGGTTCAAAGATGATGATGCAGCAGATCTTCAGAATGCATCCGTGTTTCTGGAGAGCATACTGTCGTTCATGCAGGCCTATGCATCAGCCGAGACGGAAGAGGAGATGAAGAAGAACAAGAATGATAGTGGAGTTCCACATGTCATACTTCAAGAGTCTTCCTCAACTCCAACAAAGTCTCTCCGCACGTTGATTGATTTGTTCAAGTCATTGGGCATTCTTTCCAAAGACGCTTCTCCAAGCGCTTCTTTGCCTGTGGGTGAGAATCAGATGCAGCCTTTTGGCTGGTTCATTCAACCTGTTCATGGGTCTTTTGCTTTTTGTTACTTACATACTTTAACATTATATGAGTGAGACATGACATGACTCATGAAATAGTTGTTCTCATCAGGGCAGTGCTCACTGCTGTGTACCACACGCTGTGGCCCAAGAATGATGAAATATCATCGGAAGTGGCAGAGGACAGGCTCACCCGCTTTATGAAATGGATGGAGCCTTGTCCAAAATACACAACATATTCTTCACCACTTATTTTAGGTGATTGTTTTACCCGCAGTCTCCAAAAGAATGTCTTGATACAAACTTCTCTTAAGGTTTTATGTGATTCATGTGGTTCTTGTGACTGGAACCAAGTTCAATCTCAAAGACACTATGGAGCAAACATATGTTGATGAGATTGAGAAGAATGCCAAGTTCATGGATGAGACCATGCATAAAATCCAGACGTTGAAGCCCTTTCCCATCTACGAGGAGAAAGATGAGGAAGGCTTTCTCAAAATGATGCGTGTGGATGACAAGCAGACAAAACTTTCCAGGTTGGTGAACATCCTTGAAACGAAGCTCACAAACATGGAGACAGACTGTGCAGCACTTGGGATTCCAGTCAGGCAAGGTCTTCCCTTTGTTGATGAAGTCCAGCAGGAGATCAAAACGGTTCTTTCATTGGCTGCCACAGCTACCTGCCTGCATATCCTCACATCAAAGCAGGCTTCCAATGGTACTGCGGTCTTGCTGCCCAGCATTGAAAAGACTTTGAGCTTCATTGAAGCAAGTGAGAAGGTTGAAGTGCCAGGGGTGATCTTCACAAAAATGCTGAAAATGAAAGAGACCCTAAAAGCAGCAGCTTTGCCAAAGCGTGGGCAGGTAGTCAAGAGCAGCCAAGCTAAGAAAGCTTGACTGATTTATGCCTATGCCAAAAATTGTACAGTGAACTTTAGGCAAGTCTTCACAAGCAGGATGTTGTTTGTGTTGCTCCGGTTCCTTTGTCATGTAGTATTTTGTTTTCATTGGATACACTATTCAGATTTATATATTTATATGTTCATATGATTCATATGTCATATGATGTAAGAATCATTTTATGTGACTAATATGACTATGGGTGCTCAATATCGTGGACCTTGACTGTAAACAAGTCAGGTCAAGAATCAAGAATCGGCAACTAGAACTGTGGGCCTGCAGAGGGTTACATGGCCCTCTGGCGACATGCTTTTTCCCACGTACTGCCAGAGCCAAAGGCAGGTCGATCCAGTTGCGCCCGGGAAAGAGTTCCTTTGTATTAGTGAGCTGTTGGCGGTTGTTTCCTCAAATGCAGTTTCTTTGTTCAAAGCGTTCAGTTCCGTTAGTGTCAACAACTAGCTTCCGGAGTAAAGAAGGCTCAAACGATTTGCGATCCGCTGTTCACTGATCAGCCAAAAAGCAGGATGACAAAACGTAAGGCTGCATCTCCATTGCCCAGCGCGGGTGTCAGACAGATGCTTGCTCGTTCAAAGCAGCTCGAGACAAAGAACATACTCACTGACTTTTCTGCTTGGAAGAAGCAGGTCGTTAGTGAGTCACGGGCATACTATGAACAGCGGTCCAATAGTTGGTGGGAAGATCTGTGGAAGAGGGTCCAGATTGCTCTCAAGCATCCTGATGCGCAGAAGTTTGAGAATGAAATCAAGTCCAAATCCAACAAGTCTCCTTGGACATGGAATCCAAAAGAGAACTGTGACAAAATGGACAAAGACTTTCCTCCAGTAGGCTCTCCTTCGCGTATCAAAGTTGAAGATCCTGTGGCTTCAGGGAGTGTCATGAAGACTGAACCTGTCATGAAGACTGAACCTGTCATGAAGACTGAACCTGCAGTAGTAGATCCTGCCAAGATCAAGACTGAAACAAAAGATGCTGATATGAAGGACGCCCTTGATGTCAGTACCCAACATGCGGAAACTGCAGCAGATACCAAGACCGCTGATACCGCTGATACCTCTATTGCAGTAGCGCCTGTGGTCAACAACCAAGACAATGCCAATGCTGAACAAGCAGTGATTGAGGGTATGTTGGCTGTGCCAGCAAATGCCCAGTCTATCCAGCCCAACAACGAAAACACTGCCAATGCAACAGAGCCAGCGGTTGAGGTCACGCCGGCTGTGCCAGAGACCAACCAGTCTGTCCAGTTTTCTTCAGAAAGTACCAAGCCTGAAGCACAATCTCATGAGCCTACAAAGACACTGATCTTGGCAGAGATCATTGAACGAGTGAAAGTTCACCAGGATTTGTCAGATCACTGTACAGGTGATTCTGACCACGATGGTGATCAGACAATGACTCGTGAAGAAAAACACTTGAACGCGTGTGATGACCTTGCCTATGAACTTCTTGGGGCATTGAATGAGGATGATTTCACTTTAGCTATGGCAGAGGCCTGCTCTCATCCCCTGCTTCAAGCGCACAAAGACTATGTCATCGAAAAGGAGGGCTTTGACGCAGACGAATGGGAATTTGGACAAGCTGATGGAGACCCTCTGGAGGACTTGCGCGGCTTTGTGCGCTGGCTGGTGAGTCTCAAGCCCGATGACAAAGCCCTTGATGTCGCGAAGCTCAAGTCAGAACTTGTAGTTGTCTCTGATATACAACAGGCTTCAGCTGAGAAAGCTGGAATTTTTCTTTCTGAGGAAGAGAAAGTAGCACCCATTGCAGAAATCAATGATACGCTGATGCAGCCAAATCTTTATCTAGTGCGGAAGTTGAAGAAATCCTACTTACATGGTATACTGCATGGAGCACCCAAGGCAGTCCCAGCCGCTACTTTTCTGGATCCAGCAGATGGCTTCGCTGCAATGCAGACTCTCCCTGACAGCCCGTTTGCAACTGAAGGTCTTCTTGGTACTAGTGGCAGCTTGGAAAACACGTAGCAATTTAAACACGCCCTTTTAATGAGTCAGTCATTGAGTCAGATTGTTCGGTCATATCAGTCATAGTCTTAGTCAATGATCACATGTCCAAAGAGGCAAACAACCTTCAGCCAAGGCATGGACGCCCCATGTTCCAGATCCCCGTCTGCATCTTGTACTTGGAAGGGGCCAAGAGTTGATGCGTATGGCAGGGCAGAGGATACAAACCAAATGCAAGCATTCGTAGCTGATGTGGTTGCTGCCTACCCACGGCGTGATGACATGTATGGAAGTTGCTCTAGAGCTTCTTGATTCAAGTTGATTAACGGACCAAATCTGCTAGTGTGTGTGTGCTGTTGACAGTCACCTAAGTTGTAGCTTCTGAAGCGCAAGGCTATGGCAGCTTTGATCTTCAAGCACCACTGCGAAACTCCAGGTTCCACTGTTTATGACAACTTGTCCAGCCAGAGCGATTACAACCAAAACTCGACAGTTGTGGCGTCTGCGTGCAGTGGAACCGGTTCGCTACTTGACCATATTTTTAATGGGTCAATGTCACTGTCAATGTAAATATGATACTGACAACTGATACTGTTTGTTTAGAAACACAGAAAATTGATCCTGAAATATTTGAAATATTTGACAAAGTTGTTAGTCTGAAATGCTAAATTCTGCGAATGAGGTTTGAGACAGTGATGGACAATGCACAGTCTGCTTTGAGATCTATCTTCCGTCTTCAGGCATCTCGGAATTGAATAAGTATATTTGTATTTTATAATTTTATATTTTAATTATTTATATTTATATTTATATTTTATATTAAATATAAATATATACTTTATTTACATAATTGTTGCACAAGTATGTGGTGCATTTTATATTGGCAATGAATGGTGTGTACTTTATGCCTTGTTTTTTATTCTGTTTGATCACATGTCGCATGTTTATGTTCATTATTCTGCTCAGGATCCAGGAGTTGAGTGCTCTTTTGGTGCAGAATCAGTGGCATTCAAACAGGAGTTTCTCACGCGTTCTGTGCCAGAGAACCAGCGCGAAACCTTTTGCGTATACAAGGTGCGACCCAATTTTTTTTCTGTGTTGACCTCTGTGTGTGGGATGGTATGATGACATGGACATGGGTGAAAACGATACAACTACCAATACTGATACTGATACTACTAATCTAATAACTTTAAAGCTGCAGGTATGAAGCTAGTGTGGTCAAAGTACCCAATTCTTTGGAGACTTGAACGCGTACTGACACTGCTACTATTTCTACTTGTTATTGATACTGATTCTTTGGCGCCTTGGGACTTTCCCTGCCCAGGATGTCACTCAACTTCAAGATGACTCCAAGCGCTGGTGTGTTAGGCACAGACACAATTGCGATCTGCCGGCTCCTGAAGAAGTTGATTGTTTTGCTGCCGGATTCAGCTGTACCAGCTACTCCAGTTTGAACAAATCAGCGGGGGCAAATGCTGGGGCAATGGCGGCAGCCAAAAATGCAAAGGCAAAAAGTGAAGAGCCTGAGGGGACAGAGGCGCGCAGGTTGAAACATTCATTTTTCCCTGCCTATCACTGACATTAGTTTTTAGATTGGAAGTCAAAGCTTATATGACAACACTAAGCGACATACTGCTCACACACATACATACATACCAAACATACATACAATCATCAATGTTACATACAGTACGTTAGTTACATACATAGATAAAAACAAACAAACAAACACACCTATAGCCTATTGTATATTTATAATCGTCATTATGTAAGTGTGAGCAATGTTGGCTACTTACTTATATCAGCATTCTTTTTTGGTTGGTCTTTTTGAGAGGTGAGACAACATTGTGTCTGTGACATGGCATGATGTCTTCTCTCGTGTTTGAACTGCGTGCAAAACCTTGAAGGGACAAGTCGCCAGTGTATCTACATTCCATGGGTGCTTGACAATCCTCGACAAAACCAAGCCAATGTGGGCAGTGTTCGAGAATGTGACAGCCATTGATCGGGAGGTAGACGATGATACGCTTCTTGGCTTCTGATGTTAGATCCTCTACATGTTGTCCAAGTGTGGCGTGCAGATTCCATGGTGTTGAGTCAAGATGTGTTCAGTCTATGCCAACTGACACTTCATGATTCATATTTTTAAAAATAGTATCGTCTCTCCGTATCGTATTACATATCAAAGTAAAACATCAATTGTGACTCCAAGGCAAACAAACCTGGACTATTGCTTGGCGGATATCATGGACGCTGGCTATTGTGCTGAGTGTTTCTTGTTGAACGCTTGCTGGTACGGCTTGCCCCAAAGCCGAAACCGGGTCTACATCATATGCCTCAATGTGCAGCACCCAGCTGTGTCTGTGAATGCCAAAGACTTCTTCGCAAATGTCAGATTGCTCCTGCAAAAGCTTTACCTGAAAGCTCCTGCAGTTGAATCATGTCTGTTTTGGAAAGCCTTTGTTTTGCAGTTTGTTCTTTTGGTTTTAAACAGGGTTTCCATTTTCTTACTTCACTTCAATACTGTACACTCTAGTACATAGATAGACTATAGACTATGATATGGCGACTATAAACTATAGACTAAGACTATATATTAAACAATCATATCATATCAACAATACCACGGGTCTTTCAATGCACGCTTCGGTGTTTAAGGAGGATTTGCTTCTGGACAATGATGATGAAGCTGTCATGGCACACTTGGATCGTTTGAGTGGGGAGCGGCAGGAGCAAGAGGAACAAGCGGCACAGGCGGATGAGAAGACACCAGGATGGATAAGCCTGCATATGACCCAAGCAGACAAACGTTTCTTGATTCCTGTTTGGGTATTGTTCTGGCTGTTTCAAGTGTTTTACAGTACGTTTTAGTCCGGTGAAAGAAGAGCTATCTTGGGTACAGTGTCGCTATACTTGTAGTCTAGTTTCTTTTTATATTAACATTGTTTGTTTAGTTTGTTTTGCTTTATCTAAAAGCCTATGAACCCGCCTAGCCTATGAATCAACAAACTCTCAACAGGCGCCACAAAACCGTCGGCGCCACTCTGCTGAATCCATGTCACTTAAGGTGGCATTCAATGGCCGGTGGCTGTTCCTGCCGATGTTGCTGAATCTCCATGGTTCTGTGTTCTGACTGATCGAGCAAAGGAAGTGCCTTGGCAAACGCTGAAATCATAGACTATGAGTCTGATTGTAAGAATGTCTCTATGCAATCACTGTTTCCGCAACCAGTATGTATGTGGCGATTCTGTTGCGGACCTATATTTCCCAGGTGCTTGCATTTGTTTGCGATGACCGCATTCGCGAGAAGAAGTCAGACATCCAATTCGCTGACATATACCACAGTTGCACGCGCTACAACGTGGGAATGTCAATGGTCCCAATCGTGCTCCCACGGTCGATTACATGGTCATTTTCACGCCGCAGACTTATTCTTGGAAGAGAAATGTTGACTTTACAAGGTCACACGCCAACCGGTGAGCAGCTCGACGCGTTTGAAGAGTCGCATTTCTCAAATTTGGCAGGCAATGCGTTACCTGACTGCAAAAGTTTTGTGAAACAGCAGCAGTCACAAATAGTCAACTCAAAGAGTCAAAAGAACCTTTTATCTAAGAGCCAAGATGTTTGAGTCCATGAATCCATGACTCACGCCTCATGACGTCTGCGACCTATGCCTATGACTTGATTTTTTGTAGTTCCAACACCACACTTTCTATCTTCTTGATTTTTGACCGAGTTTTGCTGGCAATGTGCTTTGCGCAGTGATCCTGGCAGTTCTGTCATCCTTGCGGCTGGTGTCTCCTTCGGAGGTAGAAGAGCGCGAAGGTATCGAAAGCATGGTCGCAAGTCTCACCCGACATTCACATTGAATGTGATGTCACCGGAGAGAGTCTGAATAAGAATGTTCAAAACAATTATGGTTCAGATTCACTAAGTTTCAATCATAATTGTAATAATGTTAAGCAATAGACATTAACATAGATGATAGTTCACCGGGCGCAGCAAAGTTTTTTCTGTTTCAGATTCACAGTTGTGATGGTGTTTGTGTTTTCTGTTTGCAATGACTCTGACAGACAGACTAGCAAATAGATGCCGGTCATGATATCTGACCTACAGACGGGAATCGCATCGTGCGAAAAAAAGGTAGAGTAGCTGCAACAGTCCGCAGAGATTTATGCTACATTCACGCACTAAACTCTCATAAGTACACCAGCATGTTTGGACCCTGGACCCTGGCTTGACACTACTACAACGTCTTTGCACTTGACCAGGCAATGTGTATCCACATGCATGTCACATGTGTCCGTCCACACGTCCGTCCATACGTCCGTCCATACGTCTACACGTCTGCGCGCACGTTCGTGCATACGTGCACTTTAAATGAGTGATCCGCACACCCGTCCGCACATACGTCCGCACATACGTCCGCACATACGTTTACCCATACGCACGCCCTCCCGTCCATGATTTTAGCTTGGTACCTCCAACAATGTTTTAAATATAGATAAATTATAGGTGCTCCTCGATAGAGGTCTCACCACTTGGAGCACGAAGCCACTGGTGGCCGTGTGGCCTTAACTAACTTTATGTTTTTGTTTAGCCCAGCCCACCCTTAATTAGGTAGGTGCTTAATTAAGTGAGGGAATAAGCTCCTAGCTACTGGACGCTCCTACTTACTGGATGCAGGATATCTCACGCAGTATCTCACACTTCTTCAAGGAAGCGCTCGCAACAGTTATTTGGTTCCTAGACTTTAGGGAAGCACAGCACGGTGGTGTCATGTCCTTCGCTACCCCCTGCTGAACGTACTGCCTCTAATTATCCCTCAACTATCCCTCAACCAATTACCCCTTGACCTTCACTGCCTTTTGCTCCTAACTGAAACATATTGCCACTATATATCATATATCTGAAAGACGGTAGCCGAATGTTGAAAGCTTCTGAGATTCCCAGCATCCAATCTTTGTCTCTGACGAGTTTCTCTAGGTTTTTGAGCACGGGATGCAGCCCATTTTCAAGATAGCACCTTTGATTTCGAAGAGAAAGCTTGAAGAAGAAGAAGAAGACATGGAGAATCCTAGAGAACAGAAAAGAAATACATCATGTAACCTGCCCAGTCCAGGGTTTGGCTTGGGAACTGCGCAAGATTGAGGCATTCTTGGACCGGGGGCCCTCATTGACACTTGGCGACGGCGACAGCAGGTGTCAGATCAACTCCCGGGGTTGGTTTCAAGAACCCTCCGGTGGTCGTCCCCATGGGGTTGGTTTCAAACGTTGTTTGCAGGGTTGTTGTAGAACGTCGTGTCCCAGCATTCCATGAATTTCTCAACTGGAAACGTGTGAGTGAGGGCCCAACAGCTCAAAGTTTCTATGCTAGATGAGCAGCAGTACCCTGGATAGACTAGGAGAAGGAGATGAAAAAAGAAGCAAATGGAAATAAGATGTTTAGAAATTCAATAGAGGTTTGCCTTCAAAAAGACATACAATTTGAATCAATCACCTGAAGGGGTGTCCTTTTGCGTCCCTGTCGCCCAGTAGTGGATCCACGTGAGGAATGCACAGATTGATGCCAAGTCCGAGGAGTTCGTGGCTTTGTTGAAAGGTTTCTTGGAGATCCCAGAACAAAAGCAGAAATATTAGAGTTTGTTGTGCTTCCGTCTCTGGCAGGAAACTGAAAAAAATAGAATACATATTATATTGAATACATATGGAAATACGTACGTTTAAAACATCGCATAAATTGACATACTGTTGATCCTGAGAAACCCCTTGTTGATCGTCTATCCGAACCCAGATGATGGATGCCCTCCACGATGGTTGTCGAAGATGGCTCTTGCGAGTGTCTTCTCTCTTTTTCTCCTTTTTGTTCCGCACTTGTTACTACTAGCGTGGCACTTGTTACTACTCTCTCTTTTTCTCCTTTTTGTTCCGCAAAATCCATTCAGCTCTGAGCGTTCGGGCCTTCATTGGGTCATCAAAAAGAGGATTGATCAAGCTGAGAAGTTCCTTGAACTTACGGTACTTGGGAATATCATTCTGGGGATCACCTATGACTCATCCAAAAGAATCTTGCAGGCGTTCAGAAGTGTTTTAGCTGAAACAAAAGTTTCTTCTCACCGTGCTTGACATGGATCGCAGGCTTTCTCACTGCCTTCGAGCAGTGTGCAGCCTGGCAGGCAAGCAAGATGAGACTTAACTGGTGATCTCTATGCACAGGCATAAGAATACCCTTCACAAGCATTACAAATCATGACAAGTGTTCACAGCGGCGTCCATTGCAAAAGAGCAAAACCCCCAACCCACTATGCACATTGAAGTCTTGTGAATCTAGCAGTTTTCCTAAAAATCTAGGAACCAAATGAATAGTGCAAGCGCTTCCACTAGCCACCTCTTCTTACCTGTTCTAGCGGCCTTCCCCTCCTGCAAAATCAAAAAATGAAGTCTTCAATTCTGAACATTCTAATTCTTGTTACTACTAGCTTCTTGTTACTACTAGTAAGGCACTTGTTACTAGAAGCGATGCACTGTGCTCCGTCTTGTGCGATGCAAATCCCCATCTTAGGTTCATGACTCAGCAGCTCTTGCTTTGCTGGAAGGCTACTCCGATGCTGACAGGTTTGTTTCGCTGTGATGAGCGGACGGAGGTGTATCAACAGTGGATTCGGTTTGCTTGCGGTGTGGATTGTGGTGACTCGCAAACGAGAAATCTTGGGTTCCTGGGTGTTTTAGTTCAAGATAGAACATGACAGAGACTTCAAGTTCATGTCATGGGCACTTGAGTTGCTCCCTGGTTGCTTTAACACGGACACAGGGATTCTATTGGAGTTTACAGTTTACTGCCTTCAGGTTCCGTGATGACCATCCGCGTTCCAAGGACCATTCCCCCTGTTAACTCACTATGCATTTAGAGTGGACATAAAGAGAAACAAACTCAAAACAGAAAGCTGCCTTCATGTCAAGAGATGGAAAACGTGCCATAGCAATGATGCCGCCCGAATCCGATGTCTGCTTTGCACCCACCTCGTGTGACGTCGTCCTGCAGCTCGTAACAGTCCAAGAGCTGACGATGCATGTCCGGTCACAGAAGGCTGGAATGGCCTGAGGCTGGCAGAGAAGGGCGGCTTACACTCCCCTGTGGGAGTGTAGAAATGAATGATTATTCCGGCAAAGAAGTTCCCAGCTGTTGATCGTAAAAGTTTAAGATGTGAAAACCAAGATGTTACTAGCTGGTAGCAGCTTGTCGGTTTGCTTGCTGTTGTTGATTTCTACAGAGGTTCGGCAAAGATGCAAAGGCCCATGCTCTGACAGCCGAATTCACTACGAATCGTAGTCGATCTCTCCAACATCCGGGTTGGACTCCAGGTCCTCCAGATCCTCAAGAGGACAGCAACCAGTGGGGTTCTTGATTATCTCCTGGGCTGGGCCTACATGGCAGGAAACTGGTTTCGTTTGCTCTGTTTTTCTAAAGCCCTTGGCAGACTCTTTCGCTGGAGGATGGTGAAGTCCCTTGCGGACAATTGGAAAAGCGAATTCAATTCTCTCATCTGTGCACCGAGATGGGAAGAGGGAAGGTCGATAGCGATGAGATGACTGGTGGCACAGACTCTATGCAGACGTTGATCGGAACTTTGACCAGGTGATCGATTTGCTTGTGTCAGCAGTAGTTCTCACCCAGGTGTTCGTTGTGGAGAACCCGGAACCCCAAAATTCCAGCTGTAGGTGGGTAGCAGGGACATGGTGCCCTGGACAGGGCACAGTGAAGTGAACCTTGGTTCATTGCATCCAGAAGGCTATTCACATTTTTCGCCAAGCTCCAGTGTGCACGATCAGGAAGGTCAACCAATCCAGCTGTGATCCTGGTTGTTCCCACT